TTGGTGTGGCTCGGAGGGCCCTCCGCCGCTGCCGCCGGGCGCTCTGCGGCAAAAGGGAACACAGGCGCTGGCAGCCTTCTTATTAAAACACATATTTTAAAGGGTTTTTTTGGTGGCTAGTTCTGGACTGGTTCTTTACCCTATGCATGCCCGTATAAGTGTGCCCCAGAACAACACCGAAACTGTTCCTAACAGAAGTTTGTTCCATCTTTAAAGGATGTCACTTCAGGGCAAACCCTTCACTTCAGAGCTTCGGGACTCCGGAGCACAAAGGAGGTGAGAGCAGGTTTCCCTAGACAGCACTGCAGGATGCACACGCAAAGTTGTTCCTTCCCATATATATGTATATATGTGCACATATACATATATATACATATATGTGCAGATTCAGTAAAACTTAAGATAATCTTCAACACATGCGTATAAGAGTGTGTGTGTGTGTACTTACATATAGATATATATGCATTTTCTATAGCCAGGCCCAGTGGAGCAGGCCAGCGGGGCACATAAATCAAGCAGGCTGCCTGCCTGGCAGTGAAAGATTGTTTTCGGCAGATACATCTAATGCAGTTTTAGTCTGGCCTTACTCGGGTTAAACAGGTCCCTAACCTGCGTAAGGCTGAAAAATGACCTGAGGAGCTGATCCTGCAGCTCATGGTACTGGGTGGCCCATGCAGCACAGGGCAGCAGGCGCTGGTGCTGGGGTCCCCTGGAAAGAGCTGCAGGACCCGAGGAACCATCAGCTGTGGTCATGAGGAGCTCACGCCGCTCACATGCAGGAGCTTCGTTGCAGTCTCTGCAGCCACAGCCAGGGCTTGGTTTTGTCTTGTTTGAAGGGTTAAACCTGGGCGAGAGCGGAGCTGCAGCCCCCTCATCCCGTCACCACTCCCGCACCCCCAGAGCCCATGCAGCTTGCAGCTGGGCAACAAAACCCCTGGGGAGACGTAGACTGCTGCGCATCAGCATGGAAATGGGTATGACTTGGTGCACACACAGAAGGTAGGTTGTTGAGAAGAACAACAAAAGAAAGCACATAAAGAGCTGGAAATGGCTCCCATATGTCAGGCAGTTAGGGCTCACAGGGGAGAAGGGAGATAAGGGAGGTGCAGGGGTGCTCAGCCCCTGGGATGCTGCGGGGCACAGGGGCTAGGGGCTGGGAGCCGTCCTGCCCTACAGTGACAGGGCTAGCAGCGAAATGCAACCGGCAGCCCAGGTTGGGGTCCTGTCCTCTGCGGAGGGCTGGACCTGAGGCTGTTGGAGGGTACCTTGCCGTTTGAGAAGACCACACAACACCATCACGGCAAAGAAAGAGGAAAGAAAGGAGGGTGTTTTTCTTCTGAGCCACCAACAGAGAGGGACCAGACAGTCTGGATAAGCTTTAGAAGCAATCCAAATAGCCTAAATAATCATCAGGCCAGATTCCTTCTGGACTGAGCAGTTGCTAGTGGTTGTTCAGAAACAAATACAAACCCCACTTCGCGCCCATTGAGTCATTCTTGAAGCACAAGATAAACTTCATCCTCTCTGCTGCTGCTGCCAGGGTGAAAAGGGCCAAACAGTGGTCTCTTAACAAACAGCACCCTGCTCCTGCCGCGGCAGCCGATGGGCAGAGGGACGGCTGGTTGGACATCCTCTGTCTGCAATATCCCTGCTCCTGCCCTTCCCTGCACTGTCCCAGTACCACCGGGGCCAGGGGCAGGAGTGATCTCGGGGCCTTTAGCTCGCTGCTTTCTGCTAAATGCTCAAACCTCCTTGTGTTCCTGTGCTCGGGGAAACGCTGCGGCCACCGATGTCTTACCTGGGCACAGGAGAGGGGGTCAGAGGCAGTGGGGCCGTCAGCCCTTCCCACCCCCACGCGCT